CCAGAAATTATCAACAGGTGCCTCCTCCTCAACAAGGTAGTTATGAGCCTCCCCGACCCATATTTGATAAGAGACCTTCAAGGAACTTTACTGCCCTCACTGAAAGCTGGACAAAAATGTATGAGAGACTGGTTGTGGCTGGATACATCCACCCTATGGGGCCTAAACCCGTGGATGTCTATTCAAAGTTCTACAAACCCGATCAGAGATGTGCTTATCATTCCAACAGCGTTGGGCATGATACTGAAGATTGTATCAACGTTAAGCACAAATTTTAGGATATGATTGATCAAGAGGTAGTCTCTCTCTCACCGGCGGCAAAAAATGTCAACACCAATACGTTGCCGAGTCATGGAGGCAACAATGTCAATATGATCGAGACAGACGAAGACTGGTGTGGAACAAAGATGATTACTCCCATTGTTTACGATGATTTGGAAAGGGCTTTCGCTTCTTTAAGCGTCAAACAGAAGAGAGATTTTGTTATTTTTACACCTGTAAAGGTTGTCGCCTTGGTGCCGTCAGAAACTCTCATCAAGCCTAAGTTTGTTATTGAAACTACTTCTACTCATAGCATGACCAGGTCTGGAAGGTGTTACACTCCTGACAAGCTTGCTCTCGGAGGACAGAAGAAGGATCAAGCTAAGAGGCCGATAAGTGAAGGAGAAGCGGAGGAATTTTGGTGGAGAATGCAACCAAAAGATTATTCCATCGTCAAGCATTTGGAGAAGACTCAAGATTAGATCTCCATATGGGCCCTGCTGATGAGCTCTCAATCCCACAGGCATGCCTTAACGAAATTTCTCGATGATACGTACGTACCTACGGGCACAAGCAGCGATAATATGGCCACCATGATTCATCAGGTTATGCGAGGGAACCGAATTAGCTTTTGTGACGATGAGCTGCCTGTGAAGGAAGATCACATAACAAGGTGCTGCATATCACTGTGATATGCCATGAAAAAATTGTCAACCGCGTCTTAGCAGATGATGGATCTAGTCTGAATATCTGCTCTTTGTCAACGTTGAGGTAGCTAAGGTTTGACCTTGGGAAACTGGAGCAAAACCAAGTCAACGTGAGAGCCTTTGATGGGGTTCAGATAGAAATGTTGGGAGCAGTGAATTTGACCATTCAAATGAGCCCAACAGAATTCAGCGCGCAATTTCAAGTATTAGATATCGACACCAGGTACAACCTTCTTCTGGGAAAGTCGTTCAACCGTATGGCCAGCCGTCCCATCTACTCTCCATCAGATGATGAAGCTCGTGTGGAAGAACGAAGAGCTGGTTATTCATAGCGAGAGGAGTCACCTTGGCAGACAGGTGTCGATCATTGATGAGATGCCGCGAGGTATAGACTTTTACACACTGGAGCTGGTGAATGCCAGCGGCAAAGACTTGGATCCACAGACTTTAATGCATGCCGTGTACAAGATGATAGCCACTGTGATGCTGCAGAACGGTTTTGAGCCAGGGTTCAAATTGGGAAGAGATTCCCAAGGAATTATTAAGCCTGTTCCGGTTGTCGTTAAGGGATCCAGATATGGTTTGGGGTACACTCCCACATATGATGACATAAAGGTGAAGAAGAAAAATGATCAAGCCTTGACTAAGCTGATCCCACATCTATATCAATCCTTTCTAATCCGGAAGTATGCCGAGCATGAATACCTTAGGGAAGGAATCTGTTACCTCTTCGAGGAGATCAATGTTGTTGTCCAGGAAAAGGTCGAGCTAGTTGGTATCCGCGATGCTGAGCCAGGGAAGGTGCTGCAGAAATGGACCTCCACGCCGATCCTGATGTCCCGAACTTTTTGGTAGAAAAGCATCATTTCATGCACATTAAAATCGGTGGTAGTCCAGAAGAGGCCCAAGACCCACAATTTTGCATTTTCTTAACCTTTCAAATTTTTGAATTTTCCATTGTGATGTTCAAAAAAGGAAACATGGCCCCATGCCATGGAAAAAGTTTGCATTGTTTTTAAATGAAAGCCTCTTTGTTTCTAACTTTATCTATTTAGTCGTTTGTTATACCTTACTTTCCTAATTTTATCTGTTTATGATTTCAGTAACATAAGTTACAGACCTGCCAATGTCTTGTTATGTCACGAGCTAAATGAACAAAATGAGGCAGGTGACGACGAGGTTGACGATTATGAAGAAGAAAGCGAGGAACCAGATTATGTTGCCGAGGAATTTTGGCAGTTCCAGAATCAACATAAAATAAATCTAGAGGAAACGAAAATGGTGAATTTGGGAGATTGGGAATGTGTATAGAGGTTAAGATCAGCACCCACCTAAATGAAGCTTAGAAAGAGGGCCTAGTTCATTTGCTTGCTGAATATAGTGATGTGCTTGTTTGGGATGTCGGTGACATGCAAGGGTTGAGTACCGATGTCGTATCTCATAAGCTGCTGATTAACCCGGGGTTCGATCCGGTGAAGCAAAAAACTCGAAAATTCAAGCGTGAACTAAGTTTGAAGATTAAGGAAGAGATCACCAAGAAAATAGAGTCTCGATTGGTGAAAGTGACACAATATCCAACTTGGTTAACCAATGTTGTTCCGGTCACCAAGAAAAATGGGAAAATCAGCATTTGTATCGACTATAGAGACCTCAATAAAGCTAGCCCAAAGGATAATTTTCCGCTACCGAATATTCACATTTTGATTGACAACTGCGCAAGGCATGAAATGCAGTCATTTGTGGATTGTTATGCAGGTTATCATCTGATTATAATGGATGAGGAAGACACAAACAAATGACTTTCATTACACCTTGGGGTGTATATAATTACAGAGTGATGCCGTTCAGCCTCAAAAATGCTGGTGCCACCTACATGAGAGCTATGACGACCATATTCCTTGACCTGATTCACAAGGAGATTGAAGTATATGTGGATGACGTCATAATCAAATCCCGTGAGAGTTCGAATCACTTGACACATCTAAGAAAATTCTTTGATCGTTTGTGTCGTTATAACTTGAAGCTATATCCCGCCGAATGGATTTTAAAGTTCTAGCTGGGAAGTTGTTGGGATTTATAGTCAGCAGAAGGGGTATTGAGCTCGACCCTTCTAAGATTAAAGCAATTCAAGAGTTACCTCGCTGAAGACGAGAAAAGAGGTGATGAGTTTCTTAGGGAGGTTAAACTACATCAGTCGATTCATAGCTCAATCAACCGTGGTGTGTGAGCCTATTTTAAAGCTGTTGAAGAAAGACGCCCCGATAAAGTGGATTGAAGAGTGTCAGACTACTTTTGATGCTATCAAGAACTATTTGTCCAATCCACCGGTATTGGTTCCTCCGTGAGAAGGGAGTCCTTTGTTGTTGTACTTGTATGTCTCATATAGTGCATTCGAGTGCATACTTGGTCAACAAGACAAGACAGGAAAGAAGGAAAGGGATATCTATTATATAAGCAAGAAGTTTACTCCATACGAGTTTCATTACACTTTGTTGGGGAGAATGTGTTGTGCATTGACGTGGATAGCCCAGAAGTTGAGACATTATTTGTCCTCGTATACTACATACCTCATTTCCAGAATGGATCCACCGAAGTATATCTTCCAGAAAGCGATGCCGATCGGAAAGTTAGCTAAATGGAAAATGTTATTGAGTGAATTTGACATTGAGTATATGACTCAAAAAGTGATAAAGGAACAGGATTTGGCTGATCATCTTGCACAAAATCCCGTTGATGAAGAGTATGAACCATCTAAGACTTATTTTCATGATGAAGAAGTGTCGTTTGTGGGTGAGGATATTTCTCAAGCATATCCAGGTTGGACATATTCTTTGATGGAGCGGCAAATCATCAAGGTAAAGGTATTCAGAGCATTCTTAGTGTCAGAATCTGGTCAACACTATCCCATGGAGGCTAAGCTCCGATTTAATTGCACAAACAACATGGCTGAATACGAAGCTTGTATTCTTGGTTTGAAAATGGCCATCGACATGAATGTCTATGAGTTGTTAGTTATTGGAGACTCAAATCTTTTTATTCATCAAGTTCAAGAAGAATGGGCTGTGAAGAAACCTAAGATTATACATTACGTACGATACGTGTAGAAGTTGTGCAAAAGGTTTTGTAATATCAGTTCAGACATACTCCCAGAATACAGAATGAATTGGCCGATGCTCTCACCACCATCGCTTTGATGATCAAGCATCTAGATATAGATTATATTAATCCTTTGGATATGGAGTTGAAAGAACATCCAATCCATTGTTCCTATGTTGAAGCAGAACCAGATGATTTGCCTTGGTATTTTGATACAAAGAAGTATTTGGAGTCTGTAACTTATCCTGAAGATGCTACAACTAATCAAAAGAAGTCTATACACCGTGTGGCACTCAATTTCTTTCTAAGTGGAGAAGTACTTTATAGGAGGATTGCAGATTTGGGTCTTCTAAGATGTGTTGATGCTATTGAAGCTGTGAAGCTTATTGAACATATACATGCTGGAGTTTTTGGTACGCATATGAACGGGTTCACTTTGGAAAGAAAGATCCTACGAGCCAGGTATTTCTGGATGATTATGGAGAATGATTGTTCCAAATTTGTGAAAAAGTGCCACAAATGTCAAGTGCACAGTGATTTGATCAGAGTGCCACCTCACGAACTTAATGCTATGAGTTCACCTCGGCCATTTGTATCCTGGGGAATGGATGTCATCGGTCCGATAGAGACAACCGCTTCTAATGGAGACACATTCATTTTGGTCGCCATTGATTAATTCACTAAGTGGGTCGAAACAACTACTTACAAGTCGATAACCAAGAAAGTGGTTGCTGATTTTATTCGCACAATCTGATATGTAGATTTGGGGTGCCAGAATCCATCATTACTGATAATGGTGCAAATCTCAACAGTCACTTGATGAGAGAGATATGTGAGCAACTTAAGATTACTCATCGAAATTCAACTGCTTATCGTCCCCAAATGAACGGAGCTGTAGAGGCCTCCAATAAGAATATCAAAAAGATTTTGAGGAAAATGATTGGCAAGCATCGAAGTTGGCATGACATGTTACCATATGCTTTATTGGGATACCGCACGGCTGTCAGAACATCAACTGGTGCTACGCCTTACTTACTAGTTTATGGAACAAAGGCAGTCATACCTGCTGAAGTTGAGATATCGTCATTGAGAATCATCCAGGAAGCTGAGTTGAGTAATGCCGAATGGGTGAGAAAGTGGGTTGATCAAATAATTTTGATTGATGATAAGAGAATAATTGTGGTCTGTCATGGTCAGTTGTATAGGCAGAGAATGGTTCATGCCTTTCACAAGAGAGTAAGAGCCAGAGTTTTCGAAGTTGGTCAATTGTTCCTTAAGCACATTTTTCATCATCATGACGAATACAAAGAAAAATATGCACCAAAGTGGCAAGGTCCTTACATGGTTCGTAAAGTATTATCTAGAGGATCTTTGGTCCTGTCGAAGATGGATGGAACCGTATGGCCGAAATCGATCAACTCAAATGCCGTCAAGAGATACTACGTGTGAAGCTACGGTTTATATTTCTGTTATTTACTTATAATCATTATGTTTTCTTGTATTCGTTTTGCTTAAATTCTTATTCCTCATGTAATGAACTACGTCTGACCCGAATTCTCAAAAATGAGATATGTCGGCGGTCTATGTCGGCTTCGGTCACCCCATTTATCCCCTTTAATTATTTCTTTGTATTTGAAATATGTTTGGCCAGAATTCTCAAGAATGAGATACGTAGGCGGCCTATGTCAGTCTCGGTCAGTTTCTTTGTAATTATTCTTACTTTGTCAACCTTTGAGGTGGGGGAACTACGTTTGACCTGATTCTGCCTCAACGGGACACGTAGGCGCCATAAGGGTTCGGTCATATCTCTCATAAGATTTCTATTCCTCTTTACAATAGAAATTGGGATAGAATTTTTGAGAGGGACTCAAAAATTCTCAAAAAGAAATTCTTCCTCACCAAGTCAAGACAGAAGATATCTCGAGATTTGCAACTGGGACAAAATCTTTGAGAAGATCTCAAAAATTCAGCGATCGGCTCAGTTACAGTGGAAAGATAAGCAAGACATTTAACTGGGACAGAAATTTTAAGGATGACCTCAAAATTTCAGCATGGATTTATCTGCAAGTCCGGAGCTACTCTGAAAACTCCCCAGCAAATGAGCAAATATTCCTTCAAGCATCAGAGTCAAAGAAGTTTGTTAAGCCTGATATGACATGACTTGGCAGAGACTTTTTTTTAGATACTATTTCTCGAAAATTTATTTCTCTTAAATTTTTCCTTTTATGTTTCATTTGTTTTGGCATAAAATACTTTGTCTTATCTATCAAGAGTCGGGAGATCAGGAAATCAACCTGAGATAGCAAAACAGGGAGCAAATAACTGAAGAAATCAACACAGATCAGTTCGATTTTAAAACTAACAATTTTTTTTGGACGCAGGTTTATAGTTTTGCTCTGAAATTAGAAAATTCTTTCGATGGATGAATATGGAAAGGTCCAAAGAGGAGAAAACTATCCCAAAATCAATAGTTTTCCTAGAAGCAAGAGACATTTTATATCTCTTATGTTTGAGACTTGGGATTTATGAATTATTTATTTCAATCAATTTCTAATGACATGAAATTTATAAAGGACATCATTTGCATCATAATGTCAGATATGATAGTATGCATTACCCGGAGGGGGTCAACTAGTTTATTATCGATCTAGCCGATATATTACCTGGAAGAAGTTTTACCGTTATAATCATTGGAGGCGATATGATTATTTATCCATCGCGAGTCAATACTCATGCATCACGGAAAATCATGCATTGCGAGTCAATACACATGCATCGCGAGTCAATACGCATGCATCGCGAGTTAATAGGCATGCATAACGGAAAATCATGCATCGCGAGCCAGTACTCATGCATCGCAAAAGATTGTGCATCGTGACTCAACACTCATGCATTGCGGAAGACCATGTACTGCGAGAAGATTTCATGCCCTGCAGTAAACTATGAATCGCGAGAAGGTTTCATACCTCACAAAGAATTAGGCGTCGCGAGAAGGTGTCATACCTCACAGAAATTATGCGTCGTGAGAAGATTTCATACCTCACAGAAATTATGACTCGTGAGAAGATTTCGTACCTCACAGAAATTATGCATCGCAAGAAGATTTCATACCTCGCAAATTTACGCATCACGGGAATATATTAATGTCCCGTAAGAAATTATGCACTACCGGAGAAGGAATCGTGCATCCAAAGAGAAATATTAATCCATTGGCATCAACTGTGTTCTTTTATTTTAATTAAAGTAAACAAAACGAAGAGTACATCGACATCAAGAGAAGCGTCAGCACTGCATCATCTTCCATTTATGTTGACATCAGCATGAAGATCACATTGACATCAAAAGAAATATCAGTATCGCATCAGCATTTATTTATTTTTACATCAAGTAAAGAGTACATTGGAGATTATGTTGCAAACACCAGACATAAGCTTTATTTGCTTTATGTCAGATCGATCGAGTTGATGTCAGATGTCGAGAGAACAATTGAGTGTTGACATGGTAAAAGGCACTGTCTCCCATCCTAATTACATTTTTTAAGCTGACGAGTTTTATCTCAGTCTTTTTCGAGAGCATCCGAAAGGATGAATTCTCCAAAAACCACAGGTGCGGACGACGTGAAAAAGGACGCAACACAATGTGAAACTTTTTCTTAGCAGCGAACTGGGACACATTCCAAAGAGGAATGTCAAACTCTTAGGACGCTACCAGAGTTCAACTTCCACCACAATCAAACCACACCCTTATTAGGCATGTGGGTTTTTCTTCGGTTTTTGTCATTTTCGATCTCGCATCCGGAAATTTTAGTATCTGCCGGAAGTGTGTTTCCAATATGAGTGACAATATGCCAAAGGCTCTGGAAATTATGTTCGTGTAAATTCTTAATTATGAGTGTGGAACACGCCACATTCATGGCTAAGAGGTTACAAGCTTCTTTTTCATTCTCGACCTATTTGTCATTTTTCGGAACCAAAGGTTATCTAGTATAATAGATTTCCTTCTCAACCAATTGAGTCAAACTACAAGCAGCCTGATTCCTTCTGTTTAGGATATGTAGGCGAGCTCAATGTTGAAAACTCAGTTGTATTTCAATGTTCTCTCTTAAATCCAATTCTCAAGGATTTTGGTACCTTCATAATTCGATATCGAGGTGGCTTTTGATTTCTTTAAAAATCGTGCGTTAAATCAAGTGTATCGAACTACAAGTGGCTTTATTTCTCATATAGCCTAAGATATGTAGGAAACCCACTTTTGATATTCGGCCATACTTCCTAAAGTACGTACCAAAATCCTTTCCTATAGATGAATATGTGGTCGGTCAAAATTGTCTTTGTCAATTTCATTTTCCTCCAATTTCTTGCATCAATCCAAGTAAAACGAGGGACAGTTGTTGACACCCAATTTTGACCCACCCTAATACAATTAAATTACGAGCTTCTTAATTTCCAAACAATTTAGAATAATTAAATTCTTAAATTTTGAAAAAAATATATAATATAAAGTTTGCGTTATTTTGAATAGTTTTAGATAATATATATATTTCAAAATTATGTATATAATAATTACATTTTATGTTTATTCAAAAAATCATTTCAAAAAGATTTTAATTTTAGTAAGTATTTTAGTAAAATTAGTTAAGTTTAATTTATGATTTTTTTGAATCACTAGTATACGATTACTTTAATTATTCTATTTTTGTTAAAATTACTTGTTAATTAATTGATATTAACTCGTCTTATTCAAATCTTAGTGAAATTCTCCAAATTACATTTAATTGGACTATTTCTTAAATTCCATGACATAGCTCATTTCTCTTTCAATTTTATAACCAAAATTTGGGCCCTTTTCCCCACATTTTCCAGCAGCCCATTTCTCTTTCAATTTTATGACCAAAATTTGGGCCCCTTTTCCCACATTTTCCAGCAGCCCATTTCTCTTTCAATTTTATGACTAAAATTTGGGCCCTTTTTCCAACATTTTCCAGCAGCCCATTTCTTTTTCAATTTTATGACCAAAATTTGGGCCCTTTTTCTCACATTTTCCAGTAGCCCATTTCTGTTTCAATTTTATGACCCAAATCTGGGCCCCTTTCCCAAATCCCTTCCAGGGTTGGCCCAACCCTTTATCACCTTCACAGCATGAACGGAAGGCAGCAACAAGAGGACAGAGACAATTTTCATCGTCTTCTCTTTTCCTTCAACAACAATACTGCTATAAGCAGTAGCAACAGACGTAAATCGTCCTTGATTGTGTCGATACGCGACACGTAGACGTAAAGGATGATAGGTTTGATCAAAATCGTCTGTTTCCCCTTTCTATTTTCGGAGCGTTTTCAGAGCTCCAAAAAAGGTATTTGCTCTTTTTGGTAAAAAGCTTTTGAAATATTTTTTTAAAGCTTTTGAATTTGGGATTGTGGTGTAACGACCTGTTTAGTCGTTTTGAGTAGCAGACTTCAATTTTGGAAAAACTGGCAGAAGCGACAGACCCCACGACGGACCGTCATGGGCACGACGGACCGTCGCAGGGTCTCGTTTCAAAATACTTAGAAAATCTGAAATTGGGTACTGAAAATCGTCTCTCTGAACTTCGTAACGGAATGGCAGGACGGACCGTCACAGTCGTGACGGACCGTCACAGTCGTGACGGACCGTCACAGTCGTGACGGACCGTCACAGGCGTGACGGACCGTCACAGGCGTGACGGACCGTCACAGGCGTGACGGACCGTCACAGGCGTGACGGACCGTCACAGATTATTCAATGGAAATTGAGTCTCTGACCCTTGCGACGACCTGCAGGACGGACCGTCACAGGCACGACGGACCGTCGCAGGTTGCGCAATCCCAGTCTGGGTCGGATTTCTTGATACGTTTTAAGGGACGTTTTTGACTATTCTTGCCTTAATTATAAAGCTAGTGGGTTAATGTTAATAAGTCTAATTACTTGGGGGTTAAAAGAGGTAACCTTAAGTTAATTAGTGGGGCATTATTGCCATCTTTTATTCTTAAATATATACTAATTAGGGTAAAAGAAAGAGGGTTGGAATAAGAAAAATAATAAAGGACAAAGAGAGACAGAAAAAGAAAGAGAACGAGTAGAGAGAGAGAAATGAAGGGGATAACAAGGATTTTGAGAAGATAGCTTGTTGATCGCAATTCTTCGGTGGAGGTAGGTTATGGTTTTCATGCTTTCATAGTAAACTCTTAATAGAGAATGATATGTATTGGTAGTATTGTAAACCCTGCTACGTGCTTAATTGTATGCATGTATGAACGTGATTATATAATTGTGATTATATTAAGCATGATGAAGTTATTGAATCCCAAATCTTGATAAAAACCTAATCTCTTTTTAATGATGATGCCTTGGTAAGGGAGAAGGCTTGGTGAACTAAAGTAATGAGATTGGTGATACCTTGGTAAGGGAGAAGGCTTGATGAATTGATGGAAG